AATTTTAACAGGAATTCATATAGAGGAAAATGCTCTTAGCCACTCCAAATGAGGGACAGTACAGCGGGAACACTCTAAACGTAGATCTTGGGGGTGGGGCAAGCATATATATATATCGTTACACCCCACAGCACTCGCGTACTTCTCTTGGTGACTACAGTACCTCCAGTGAACTGCGATGGCTGGCAGGCTGGTGAAAGATGGGTCTGAGAAGGCTCAGGAATGGGACAGAGAAGACAAGATGCCCGCTACCACATCGGGCAGGTATCATCGTCATTTATTGTGAGGGTCTAAATAGAGGTGGGTATCATCTTCTTCGCAAGAAAACGAACGTTGGGCCATGAATGCATAACCCTGACATTTTCGACCTTAAGGCGCAAATGTGCATCTTAAACTTCGCACAAAACCCGACGTCTTACACACTAAGCCACTAAGCCACGAAATCTCGGACTTAGTCATACGCTTTAAACCCTGAATGGGGCGCCAGGGTGAAGGCTTAGGGGAAATGCCCCAGAATCTCGGCTGCCTGAAATGTTTTGGATGTAGAAAGTTGACTTTTGAAGATTCATATTTTAGTCTAGGATTTGGGTTTTCTTTTGCGAGTGTCAAGTCCACCTTAAGTGGAGAGACTGCGCGGAGCTTCCACACAGAATCCTGACATCCACGTTTTCGTTGGTGATCCAGGGCTGTAAGCATTCATGGCAGGCCCAGTTCGAGGAATTGATTTGTGAGATATATAGCCCGTACTCCAAACCCTTAAATTGGACAGCTGAGGGCGCAGGGCTGTTCGGGTCCAGGGTGGTGATAGCTTGGCATGGCTGCCCTTTAGTAGACTTAGCAAGAACCCTGGAAGGCCTGGCATGCATTCCGAATATGACCAAAGTCCCCCTTCAGGGTCAGCATGTATGACCTATGTTTGCTAGCTCTTAGTCTACGGAAGTAACCAGTGGCTTAACACCGTAATGCAACAAGCTGGCAATGTTCCGCTCCCGTAGCGACACGTACCGTAGTGACTCTACTCTGACAGTCACAGTCCGAAACGGACACGATCGTTTTGAGTGTGCAGAGCTCTTTGTTTGAGTTCAATGTAATGCCAGTTCCCATGCAAAGTTGCAACAAGTGATGGAGCGGGAGCGAGCGCAAAAAGTTCGTTGAGTGCTTGTGTTTGCTGCAAGGCCTCTCTCATGCACCATCCGCACCACTAGCTTTGGTCACCCAACCAGTACCCAGCAATACTCAGCACTAATGTGCTAGGCACAGGTCTAGTGGTGGAGCATGGCATAAATCGGCCATTTGCAAGCCTGAAGCCTTTGCCAATGTGAATGCCAGGGTTCCGTCTCACTCCTCCCCAAGTCACACAGTTACAAACTCCCTAGCTTTGTAGCGGCATGTGAGTCTCCGGAGAGGAAGGGCCCCAAGGAGGGGTCAGAAACTTCTGGAAAGTCCCATGTGTCCCAAGCAAGGAATCTTCAACATGACCACTGCAGACCATCAGTCTTCATGCTAATCTTGAAACATGGCGAACGCGAAGATGGTGAGCTAAAGGGTCGGGATTCTGCAAGGATTGCTACGGAGAGTGTTGATGCACAGCTTGCGATCACTTTCCCGAAGTTGCAAGCCAAGTTGCAAGTTCACGTAGGAAGGTGATGCGGTGTAGTGCAGAAGCATACCTCCCAAGAGGGGCTTGTAGAGCACATCTGCGCCAGCTTCACGCTAAGGCTGCAAGTTATCACAAACGCAGATGCAGACCCTCTGCATCCACAAAGTCTCAAGAGCGGCTGCGCTCCGAACATTTTACCCAAAACCTGCCTGGACCCTCGCATGGAGTTCTTTTCTAGTTTTGGTATGTGCTTGCTTTGAACTATTTTAAGGACCCCACAGAAGGATTATATTGCAGGGTCTAGGTAAATCACCAACAATGACAGCCTTTAGCAGCAAAATGTTGGGAACCTTTGTGCGAGTTTATGGGTATCCGGGAGGTCATTTCTGGAGAGGCTTCTGCATGCTTATCATATTCAAAACCCAACTAATTAGGGAATAAATAGCTATAATTGTCAGTAGTACCCCCATAAGGAACCGTCCAACCCTGAATCTGGGACGCTTCCTCTGCAAGTTTGATCTCTGCGGTGTTTTGGCTCCACAGCCGCGGTTCCGTCGCTTGGAGCTCCAAGGCTTCAGGGTATCGGGGCTATATGTAATACTATAAGTCTAATATAGGGTTCTATTGGGCATATATAGGGATAATGAAAAAATAGAAAGTACAGGGAGTTTAAGGGGTTATATTGGGTGAAGTAGATTTCATTGTAGGTTTTGGTTGGTGCATGTGAGGTTCATTAGGAGTATCGGTGAGTGTTGATATGGGGCTGAAGCAACCAGAAGATGGCTGAATTTGGGCAACCTATTGCGGGATTTGATTTTAGAGCTCAATGATTGGCCTTCGGTGATTGGCCTTCGGCGTGATGATCATTTTGATGTTTCTGCCTTTCACTACTTCTGTATATCCATTTGTATGGAACGGTGAAGGCTAGATAACACTATTGCCGCAGTTCTGGTCGTACTCTGGCGTTACGATTCTTACCACTGTTGCTATTATGACCTCCGTTGACTTGGAATGGGTGTTCAGGCTAAGGGTAGTGGTTTCCTCATGCGCTCAGTACAGTTTCATGAGGGAAGTAATGCCAGGACGTTGAGTGCTTTTCCTGTTGCCCACCGTGCGGGGTTTCAGGATAGCTCCTTCGGAGAGATCCTTTTTTTGGAGTTGGGCGTTTGGCTTGGAGATTATCGGTTTGAAATAAGGTTCCCCACAGCTTCCCAGCAGGTTCCCCACGGGCTAATATCGTGGACAAGTAGGATGTGGGATGAAGGTTGAAAACCCACCCTTCCAAGGCCATTCAAAGGAATGTCCACTCAGGATATACTAGGTGGACCCCCCACCGAGTAATAGCGGACAAGTTGGATAATGGTAATCATTTTCGGGTCCTCCTATATTCCCATTACACTATTACAGGCTGGGGGGGGGGGGTCCTCCTAAGATACACCCTAAACCCTAGACTTTGAACCACACAGGAACGGTAGCCAACACCTGGCAAGCCCAAAGTTCTTGTTTGTGGTTACCTGCACTTGCGATTTTCGCAAGTGTGCTCAACATAGTGAGGGTTTAGGTTCACACTGAGAATTATAGGTACACTATGGGGCTTGAGGGTCCCCCAATGTGGTTGTAATTGGGTTGTAGCTACTTGGGTTGCAAGTACTCATGGACTTCGAAATCATTGGATCCAAGTCACCTCGCTGCATTCAATCAGAGATCTTGTTGGTTACGGGTCTGAACGAAGTGT